AAACAAACATAACAACAAAACAACCATCTCTACAGATTTTTTTTTCTTTTTTGTGTGGGTTTTTTTTTTTTTTTTTGAGACAGAGACTCATTTCTTGTTGCCGAGGCTAGAGTGAGTGCCGTGCGTCATGCTCACTTCACAGCAAGCTCCAATCCTGGGCTCAAGCATGCCTACCTGCCTCAGCTCCCGAGTAGCTGGGACTTACAGGAGATGGCCACCATGCCCAGCTAATTTTTCTATATATTTTTAGTTGGCAATTAATTTCTTTCTATTTTTTAGTGAGAGCGGTCTCGCTCTTGCTCAGGCGTGCTGGTCGAATTCCTGACCTTGACGTGAATCACCGACCTCGGGCTTCCAGAGTGCTGGGATTACAGGTGTGAGCCACCAAGCCTGGCCACTATAAAAATTTTTAAATTAGCCGGGCACATGACGTATGGGCGGTGGCCTGTAGTCCAGTATCGGAGGCTGAGGCAGGAGGATCTCTGACCCAGGAGTTTGAGGCTTCAGTGAACTATGATTATGTCACTGCACTCCAGTGGCATCATTTAAGTAAATAATTATTTAATTAATTTTAAATACTAAACAAATTTTGGGGAAGGTGGGAGAAAGAGTCTCACTCTGCCACCCCAGCTAGAGCACAGTGGCATCATCATAGCTCCTGCAGCCTCAGGACTCCTGGGCTCAGCCATCCTCTGCCTCAGCCTCCGAGATAGCTGGGACTCAGCATGCGCCACCAGATGACACGGCTCATTTTTTCTTCTCTTTGTATAGATGGATGTCTCGCGCTTGTAGGCTGGTCTCAACTCTAATTAATTAATTTAAAAAAAAAGAGTTGAAGCTGGATTTACATCAAGTCTGTGTGGCTCCAACATGCTCATGGGCCTCTTCCCAGCTTCAGTGTCTTCTCTGGTCTACCTGAGGGGAGGAGAAGCCACAGGTATCTTATTCCAGACTCTAGAAGGAGAAAAGGAACCAGAGTTCTGGTCTACCACGTTGTTCTCTTAGAATCCAGATCCTCAACTTCCTTTAAAAAGTGTGTTAGGCGGGCGGGTGGCTCACGCCTGCAATCCAGCACTCTGGGAGGCCGAGGCGGGAGATTGCTTCAGGTCAGGAGTTCAAAACCACCTGGAGCAAGAGTGAGACCCTGTCTCTACTATAAATAGAAGAAATAATTTGGCACTAAAAATATATTGGAAAGAAATTAGCCGGGCGTGGTGGCGCCTTGCCTGGTCCAGCCTACTCGGGGAGGCTGAGGCAGGAACGCTTTGAGCCCAGGAGTTGGAGGTGGCTGTGAGAGGCTGACCACGGCATCACTCTAGGCTGGGCAACAAAGCAAGGACTCAAAAAAAAAACAGTAGCGTGTTTCGAAGGATCCAGATCTGATAAAGGGACAGAAATACTCACTCCATCAATTCAAGAGGCAAGTTCTTTGTTTCCCAGGCGCTTCCTGTACTGTCTTAAAAATAGCTCCCCGCCACCGTCCCGGGGCCAGAATGTCCTTCGAGATGAAACGGGCTTTGAAGACGCGATTCCGTCCGCCCGGCGGTGGCGGCCGCGGATAAGCGGGAGGCGTTTTGCAAAAC